GGTCACGCAGCAGGTGCAGCGATGTGGTGGCACACCCCACATCAGAGCACTGGTTTGTGTCCCAGGCGCTTGGCTTCCGATCCAGCTCCCTGCTAATGCATCTGAGAAAGCAGCAAGACACAGCCCAAGTACTTGGGCCCCTGCCACCACGCGGGGGATCCAGATGGGGTTCCTGCCTCTTGTCTTCAGCCTGGCCCAGCCCTGATGGTTGCAGCCCTTTGGGGAATGAACCAGTGGGTAAAAGATCTTTCTGTGTGTCTCTTCTCTCTCTGTCACTCTGCCATTCAAATAAATAAAATAAATCTTAAAAAAAAAAAACACTACAACCAAATAAAGAGACTTTGAGAAAGCAGAGATGCAGGAAGCATGAGAAAACGTTTAATTATCTGTAATTAATCTCTTTGAGATATAAAGATAATGTACCTATGAAAAGAGGGAGGGGAAATGCCACGAAATGGAACATTTGGGGAATATAAAGGACCCCTGTACACTAGAAACATGAGGGTAGACGTGAGAAAAAATCGATAGAAGAATGATAAAGTTGAAAAGCTCTGAGAAACAAAACCCCAAAGACAAAGCAATGGAAATGGGAGTTTTAAAATAAGAAAATGTGAAGGATTGTGCCTGGAAGCCCAATATTTTCCCATCAGGAGTTCCAGGAGTGGTTAAGAGAGGAAACAATTAGAGGAAATCATGAAAGAAGTAATACAAAAGAGTCCTAACAGGAGACTCTCCAGGTTTAAGCCTGAGTACAGAGCAAAGCAAGGCCCTCCACGAAGGCGTGCCTTCTAGAAGCCGAGAAAAAAGCATCTGGAGGAAAAAGCACACTGAGGACTGGAAATCGTAATGGGATTGAAGTCGCCAACAGCGATGCAGGAGGTTAGAAGGCAGTAGAAAAATGTTTTGGAAATTCTGATGGACAATGACTTCTGACTCAGTATTTTATTCCCAGTCAAAACTAAGGGCAGAATATAGGCATATGCAGAAATGCAAAATCTCAAAAAAAATTGTTTTGACCTTTCCCATGAGCTACCCACGCAGTGCTTTATAAACTTTGAAGTGCCATGGGTCGCTGTTACACTGAAGATTCTGATTCAGTGGGTCTGGGTGGGTGGAGAGACCCACATGCAGTAGTTCTAACAAGCTCGCAGCTGATGCCGGTACTGCTGATGCATGGCCCACACTGAAAAGGGAGGTCTGAGAGGATGTGCCCTCCCACGATGAGGCAGCGCCAGGAATGGGGAAAGCAAGTTAAGGGGAGTATGCAGAACAGTGCTGCCGGGAAGCCCCAGGCCACTGCTGAAAAGGAAACCAATCTCAGTTGGGGGGGGGGGGGTGGAGAGGAGATAATTAGGCAGCGATGATTCCCTGCTATGGTGAAAAGGAACCACTGGCGAGGGCTCCATGACGCAGCAGCTTAAGCCACCGCTGCCATCCCATATCACAGGGCCAGTTTGAGTCCTGGCTGCTCTGTTTCTGACCCAGCTCCCTGCTAATGCACCTGGGAAGGCAGCAGATGATGATCCAAGTACTCGGGTCCCTGCCACTCATGTGGGAGACCCCGATGGAGTTCCTGGCTCCTGGCTTTAGCTTGGCCTAACCCTGGTTGATATGGCCATTTGGGGAGTGAACCAAAAGATGAAATATATTCTCTCCCTCCCTCTCTCTCTCTCTCTCCACTCCCCACCCCCACCGTGTGTGTGTGTGTGTGTGTGTGTGTGTGATGCTGCCTCTCAAATAAATTAATTAATCTTGGGAAAAAGCAGAAACCACTTACACATGACAACCAGTTTCATCCTCCAGTGTTGCAGGAGCCACAGCTGCAAAGCGCAGCTCAGAGGCAGCTCACACCCTTCCCACGCTCCGTTCCAACAGAGGCCCCTGGGCAGGAATCACCGGGAGGCCAACAGCAAGCTCCGGGATGGTGCTGAGACTTCCGATATGCAGGGAGACACTCAGCCTGCTCCTGGAGGAGACTGCAAAGACCACCTACCACACTGCAGCTACTGTTCTCCTTCCTGATTTCAGTAAGTCCGCAGCGGCGAATGCTCAGTGCCCAGTGGCTTAGCCAGCAAGTTTTCAGCTGCAGTACCGGGAACCCAACTCGAATTGGCTTAGGCAGGAAAGCAACAGAATTTCATGAAGCCTAGGGGAAGCCACGAGAAAAGTTCAAATCCTACCTTCAACATTCAACCTTTCCCATGAGCTGCCCACGCAGTGCTTAATTAAATTGCCCATAAGCAAGGATGACAGAAATGTTGTGAATATGAAAGGAGTTAACAATGTAAAGTACTTAGAACAGTGCCTGGTGCCAAGAGTGCCTGGTGCGCAGCTAACGCTCAGTGGATATTAGCTATTGTTGTTTGTTTGTTTGTTTTCCACAGGCTGAGTAGACAGTGAGAGAGAGAGAGAGACAGAGAGAAAGGTCTTCCTTTGCCCTTGGTTCACCCCCCAATGGCCGCTGCGGCCGGCGCACTGCGCTGATCTGAAGCCAGGAGCCAGGTGCTTCCTCCTGGTCTCCCATGGGGTGCAGGGCCCAAGCACTTGGGCCATCCTCCACTGCACTCCCGGGCCACAGCAGAGAGCTGGACTGGAAGAGGAGTAACCGGGACAGAATCTGGCGCCCCGACCGGGACTAGAACCTGGGGTGCCGGCGCCGCAGGCAGGGGATTAGCCTAGTGAGCCGTGGCACCGGCCCAGCTATTGTTATTATAAACGTAATTCAGGATTCAAAACAAATCTGGAGGACAGAATTTACCCTGGACACGCTGGCATACAACTGCAGGACAGGAACCATAAAGAACAAACATCAAGAGCCCTTGGAAGGCGGGCTTTGTTGCATACAAAGGACCGACAATTAGTCTGGGCAAGTCTCTACAGCAGTCACAAAGCCCCAGAAAAGTGACTGTTTACAAAATAATGAGATGAAAGACCGTGCCAACGGAGGATTTCATGCCTAGTCTAACTTTTGTTTCGGGCTGAGCCTTGAATGAAGCATTTAGCAGATTGACAACTGAAGGGTTAGCTCTCACAGGTCTCACCAAGCCCTTCTAAAGATTTACTCCAGGAAGAAGGAAATAGAACTAAGAACAAGTGTTGAAATGTAAGATGTCCCAATAGACAGTAAGTTATTAAACCGGAATACTGACTCTGCAAATAATCATCACGCTGATGACTAATATGAGGAATAAAAACCGAAAGAAGGAAAGAAAGGAAACAACAAGCGAAACGGGAAGACACGGAGCACAGCATGCAAAGGCCCTGCTGTCTGCAGCAGGATAAGTAAATTGATGACTTTGCATTTTGTTAAATTGTCGAGGTGCTTCCAAAAAGATTAGATATAATTCCCGAGACAACATAGAGGGACAGAAAAGAAAACACTACAAAAGAATTCAGGGGGCCGGCGCCGTGGCTCACTAGGCTAATCCTCCGCCTTGCGGCGCCGGCACACCGGGTTCTAGTCCCGGTCAGGGTGCCGGATTCTGTCCCGGTTGCCCCTCTTCCAGGCCAGCTCTCTGCTGTGGCCCGGGAGTGCAGTGGAGGATGGCCCGAGTACTTGGGCCCTGCACCCCATGGGAGACCAGGAGAAGTACCTGGCTCCTGCCATTGGATCAGCGCGGAGCACCGGCCACAGCGCTCCAGCCGCGGTGGCCATTGGAGGGTGAACCAATGGCAAAGGAAGACCTTTCTCTCTCTCTCTCTCTCTCTCTCTCTCACTGTCTACTCTGCCTGTCAAAAAAATAAAAATAAAAAAAAATTAAAAAAAGATTTATTTATTTACTTGGAAGGTAGAGTTACATAGAGAGGGGAGGAGAGAGAGAGAGAGAGAGAGTCTTCCATCCACTGTTTCACTCCCCAAATGGCTGTGACAATCTGGGCTGGGCTAGACCAGGCTGAAGCCTGGAGCTCCATCCAATTCTTCCACACAGATACAGGGACCCAAGGACTTGGGTCATCCTCCACGGCTTTCCCAGGCACGTAAGCAGGGAGCTGGATCAGAAGAGGAACAGCTGGGATTAAAACTCGTGCTCATAAGGGACGCCAGCCTCACAGGCAGCAGCTTTCCTGCTGGGCCACAATGCTGGCCCCAAGCCAGCATGTTTTACAGACAAGCTTTACAAAGCATTGAGGAACAGACACAATTGTAAGTGTGCATATGAATGACATCAACAAAGATCTAAAAATGGTGAAACTATGCCATGTTCCTTAGACAGAAAGACTCCATATATAAAGATGTCAATTCTCTCCACAAATAATTTATACATTTAAGGCAATTTCAAATGGAATACCACAAGGGTTTTCGATGAAACCTGGCAAACAGAATCTAAAATTTGTGTGGAAGATCCCCAAAATGAAAACTGCCAAATGGCTGGAAAGAAAGGGGGCTTGTCTTCCTATAAATTGGCTAAAGCAGCTGTGTCTTGGTGCAGGACTAGACAAAAGCAAAATCCAGAGGTGGGTCACACACATTTGGAACCTGTTATAATGATAAAAGTGGTGGTGTAGACCAGAGGAGCAAAAACAAACCAGTCATTAAGTGGTGGTGCTGGGGAACATGAAATCAATCCAAGTCTTATATTTCTTTTATTTATTTTTTTATTTATTTGAATGACAGAGTTACAGAGAGAGGTAGAGACAGAGACAGAGGTCTTCCATCCACTGGTTCACTCCCCAGACGGCTGCAATTGCCAGAGCTGCTCTGATCCAAAGCCAGGAGCCAGGTGCTTCCTCCTGGTCTCTTATGCAGGTGCAGGGGCCCAAGCACCCGGGCCATCCTCCACTGCCTTCCCGGGCCACAGCAGAGAGCTGGCCTGGAAGAGGAGCAACAGGGACTAGAACCCAGCGCCCATATGGGATGCTGGCGCTGCAGGCAGAGGATTAACCAAGTGATCCATGGCGTTGACCTGTGGGTGCAAGGTCCCAAAGACTTGGGCCATCTTCTACTGCTTTCCCAGGCCATAGCAGAGAGCTGGATTGGAAGAGGAGCAGCCGGGACCAGAACTGGTGCCCATATGGGATGTCGGCGCTGCAGGCCAGGGCTTTAACCTGCTGCGCCACAGCACTAGCCCCCAAGTCCTATATTTCAAAAGCAGAAAGTTAAAACTTGTAGAAGAAAAGGCATGGTATCTGTAACAGCAGGATAAGGAAGGATATCTTCAACAAGAAACAAAAGCCACAAACCACAAAAGGAACAAAATAATACATTTAATTACATGAAAATATAAAACTTTTTAACAAAAGACTTTTCAAGTTGGAAAAACAAGCTACAGACTGAAAGAATTTATTTGCAAAATATTTCGCCAACATGTGTCAGAATAAACAGTATTTTCAAGTGTTTGCAAATCAGTCGGAGAAAGACAAACAACTGAGAACAATGGCAGTGTCCACGGACAGGCGTTCCACCAGCGAGCAAAGCAGCACAGACACGAAGCACAAAACATCCGCTCCACCTCACGAAGGAAGTCCACACAGTCAGACAATCAGATTTGCAAAGGTTCAAAAGTGTCTCAAGATTTCCGATTTTAAACCGGTGGAGCAAACTCGGCAATTTCCTTTCTCCTCTTGGATGGCTTCCAAAGCAGCAAGAGGAAAGCAAAAACAGAGACTCCACTTGAAAAGGCAGACCAGTCCCAATCCACAAAAACATCTGGCAGGATTCCAGGAGCCACAGAGACCCAGTCAGGGTGTGCAAGGAAGAGGATCAAGGTCAGGATCAAGAGGATCAAGCTCGCGGCAGGTGCTTCCCTGGACTCGGTTAATGATGAGGAGCACGGACGGTGGGTGGACTGACGAACCCCAGAGATGAGCCCCCTTCCGAAGCCGCTGAGGGTCCCCGCAGTGCCCTGTGTGCTTTGTATGCACGTGAAGAGAGCTCGGGGAACCATGCTTGTGACCCCTCCCTGAGCCCAGGTCTCTGTCAACAGCTGGTGTCCGTGTGTGTTAGGGCTCTGCAGAGAAACAGGGCCAGCGCACGCACGGAGAAGGACAGCGAGGAGCTGGCTCACGCAGTGTACGTCAGCCGTGGGCACCCCCGAGAGCCAGGGCCCCGGGGTAAAGTCTTTAAGCAGTCTGCTGAGGGGGCTCTCATCTGCTCGTTTGAATATATTTTCACTAATTTGAAAGGCAGAGTGACAGAGCAAGGGCTGCGGCAGTGGCGGGTGGGGATCTTCCTCTTCCGTTCACTGGTTTACTCCCCAAATGCCTGCAAAACCATGTATGGCTTCCACCTCCGCCACCACTGCTGTCCCATGCAGGAGCCCCCTGCACAGCACTGGGAGGGCGGAGGACAGGCGCTGCCTGACAACGGGACGAGCCCCCTTGCTCCTCCACAACTGGTAGGCCTTGTCCTGAGGACCCACTCCCATACCTTCACCCGCATGTCTGCCCTCGCCCTGCTCCTTTCCAGCCTCCCTTCTCCCCAGCCTTTCAGTCGTGTGCATCTGCCACTGCCCTGCTCCAAGAAACCCGGTCTGGTGGTGAGGGAAGCTTCTTGCGCCAGTCATTAAACTGGTGCTAGGGCTCGGGGCTGGGTCAGACTGAAAAGGGGCCTCGTCCCTGGTTTCTGTGCCCAGAGAGGTGTTTCCCTGCGATCCCCTAGCCCAGTAGGGGGACTGCTTCGCAATCTGCTTTCTTTTTTTCTATTTTATTATTTTATTTTAGACAGGCAGAGTGGACAGTGAGAGAGAGAGAGACAGAGAGAAAGGTCTTCCTTTTGCCATTGGTTCACCCTCCAATGGCCGCACTGCGCCGATCCGAAGGCAGGAGCCAGGTGCTTCTCCTGGTCTCCCATGTGGGTACAGGGCCCAAGTACTTGGGCCATCCTCCACTGCACTCCCGGGCCACAGCAGAGAGCTGGCCTGGAAGAGGAGCAACCGGGACAGAATCTGGCACCCCGACCAGGACTAGAATCCGGGGTGCCGGCGCCACAGGTGCTGGCCCACAATCTGCTTTCTTCCATGGCGGTGTTTCCTCCTTGCAGAGGCGCCAGGTGCCCATCTGAAGGGGGAGAGATGGGAGGGGCTCAGGACCTCCCAGAAACGTTCTTGTTTTAATCAAATGAGCAAAATCCTGGCTGACCGCAGAGGGAAAGAGCTGCAGTCGGAGGCGGACCCCAGAACAAGGCGAGTTCCCATGGAAGGGGCACTCTCACATGTCGAGACCCCAGGTCCTCACCAGGTCCTTGGGACTGAGTGGGAGTTCCTGGGAGGAGGGCTCAGCCCACCGGAGGCCAAGGTGTCGGGGGCTGGCCAGGTCCCCGCTGCTTAGGAGTTGCTAACAAGCAGGAGGCCCTGCACTGGAGTTCTACAGGGAGCAGGTCATTGGCAGAGTGTGCACGGAGTCCGGCCTTTGGAGGAGAGGCAGGAGCCCTGCAGGGCCCCAGGGCCAGCGGAGGGCTCGAGAGCAGGCATCAGGAACCGGCGGTGCAGGGATGGCGTGGGGGTCTCGCACCAGTGGGGCAGGGCTGGGCAGGTTTGGGGAGGGCTCTGGGTACTCTCTCAGGGGCTCACAGAAAGGTTACTGGCAGGAGCAGCTGCAAAGCCGCAGAGGGCCCTCGTCTGAGTCCTCCGCGCCCTCTTCTGAGGAGCTCAGCATGGTGCTCCCTGTGAAGGAGGGAGGCCTCCAGGGATCCACGGCTTCCCCCAGGGCATTTGGAGCAGAGGAGCCACAGTGACCGGGGACAGAGAACGTGGAAGTGCGCAGGCGCGCAGCTCTGTGAGGCACTCCGGCACTGTCGCCTCTCCAGCCGGCCTGCAGGACTGAGCCACGCCGTCAGCATTTCCACCCCGTGAAGGGCCCTCCTCCGAGGTCCCCCACCCCGGCCTCGGGCACTCGGCCCTTGTACCCCTCTTGGCGACTTCCCCGTTCTCAGCTCAGCTGCTCCTGCCAGGCCGTCGTACCCCACACGCTATCTCCATTGAGAACACTGGCCATCTTCCTAGTGGACTCATGGTGCCTGTGCCGCTGGCCCTTCCTGACCAGGCCAAGCACACCAGGAAGTCCTCCACAGCCACTGGGCTGTCCCCGTTGCCTGATCCCATCTGTGACGAATGACTGAACTTCCTGATTGCTCCACAGGCAGAGTTCTGGTGCACCTGTCCTGGCCCTCAGCTGTGGGCAGCACAGGCCAGGTGAGAGGCCAGTCCTGGTCCCATGAGTAACGGTCTGCTGGGCCTTCCTACCCCAGACCCGAGCTGGAGCTCTACTGGCTGGCCCCGGGGGGCCTGCAGGACGTACCCCAGCAGGTAGATTCCTCCTGCAGGAAGTTCCTTGTGCAACCAACCCAGGGGCCTGTGAGCAGGGGCTGACAGCTGCCAAGTCCCCATCACCACCAGCAGAGCAGGGAGGTGCTGACAGAGCCTGCAGGGCCTCAGGGCCCCGGGCGCGGCAGCACCTGCACCCTCACCCACACCAAGTACTGACCCAGGGCTCAGTGCAGCCTCGCCTGGTGCTCTTCCATCCTACGCAGGTTGCGTGTTCCTTAATGTGCAGGGCTTGGGACTGGAAGCGTTTCAGATCGGGGGTTTTGTCAGATTTCTAAATATCTGGATATACTGATGGGATATCTCTGGGTTGAGACCCAAGTCCAAGTATGAAACTCATTTGTGTTTCATTTGTACCTTATATGCATTGCCTAAAGGTAGTTTTATACAATGTTTGACAATTTGGTGCATGAAACAGCTTCACAGTATGGAATTTTCCACGGTGGCATGTTGTCATCATCTATCTGTCAGCACAGCTGTCATCAAGAAAGAAAGATAACAAGTGTTGGCAAGGTCCTGGCGAAACTGGATCCCCTGAACACTACTGGTAAAGCTATGGTGAAACATATGGCATTTTGTCACAGTAAAAACAGAACTACCATACGGTCTAGCAATCCCACATCTGGGTATACCTTCAACAGAATTAAAGGAAGGCTACTGAAGAGACATTTTCACTCTCCTCTTCATTATAGCACTATTTCCAACAGCCAAGATATGCAAATGACTCAAGCATCCAGCAAAGACAGGTGGATGAAGACAAGGTGGTGTATCCAAACAAGGGAGTGCTAACTGGCATTTCAAAGGAAGGAAATCTTGCCATTTCTGACAAGGATGAACCTGGAGGTCATTATGTGGAGTGAGACAGGCCAGTCACACAAAGGCAAGCTGTGCCTGATTGCACTGCTATGAAATATCTCTAACAGGCCAACTCCAAGACAGGCAGCATGTAGGCAACTTCAGTGCAGCACCCAGGGCCTGCCCCAGGACTGACCTTGAAATCACCCAGGAAGATTTGCTTAAAATCCAACAATGGTTAAAAACAAGAGGCAGACAGAGAGGTGGGGGTGGGGAGTGAAAGGAAGGAGTGAAGCACGGGGAGAGCCCTGGGCCTGCATCAAGATGCAGCTGTTTTAGACGAGGCCTCCATCTTGTAACTCGGGCCTGGCCAGGCCCTGAACCCTGAGCCAAAAGCTCCTAAAAGAAAATAATGAACTCCTCTTGCGATAAACTCTCCTAGCAACAGCCAATTAGCAGACAGCAGGGAAATACGTAATTCCAGGTGTCTTTTCAGGAAGTTAAGGTGATTGATAACATCCTGAAACCCTGCAGTTTGGCACGTACACCCTAGTGGCTCAGACCCTGTACTTTAGCCAATCATAAATGACAAGTATAAATGTAAAATACGAGCCTATCAGATGCTGTACAGCTAAACTTGTTTGTTCAACTGTATAAAAACCCTAATGACCTTACTGTAGGGGCCACTGATCCAGCCCAGCTGTGCCTGGTGCGGACGTCGGTCTAAACTCGAGTTTGAAATAAAATTCTTGCTGGCGCCACAGCTCACTAGGCTAATCCTCCGCCTTGCGGCGCCGGCACACCGGGTTCTAGTCCTAGTCGGGGCGCTGGATTCTGTCCCGGTTGCCCCTCTTCCAGGCCAGCTCTCTGCTGTGGCCTGGGAGTGCAGCGGAGGATGGCCCAAGTGCTTGGGCCCTGCACCCCATGGGAGACCAAGAGAAGCACCTGGCTCCAGCCTTCAGATCAGCGCAGTGCGCCGGCTGCAGCATGCCACTGCGGCCATTGGAGGGTGAACCAACAGCAAAAGGAAGACCTTTCTCTCGGTCTCTCTCTCTCACTGTCCACTCTGCCTGTCAAAAAAAAAAAAAAAAAAAAAAGAAGAAGAAAGAAAGAAAGAAATAAAATTCTTGCGTTTGCATCAGCCTCGGCTCCTAGTGGTCTTAATTGGTGGGATCAGATGCTTCGGGTACAACATCTGGGGGCTCGTCCAGGATTTCCCCCTTTAGACTACCAGGACTCTGAGACTGGAGATCAGATACCGGCGGTAAACTCTGTGCGTTTATCTGTGTGTTTAAGTGTTGGCTGATTTCTGATTATGGTTCATAGGATCTGTATCTGGGCTGTGAGATGACCTAGGCAGACACGCTGAAAGGTCACCAGCTAGGGTTCCTGGGAACACGTCCCAGGTCCTGCCAGAGGGACCCACCCCACCCCTGCTCCGGAGTCCAGGAACCCCCAGGGCATGGGGGACATGGGGGACAGGAAGCCCCGGAGAGGCCAGGGAGGCCAAGGAAGGCAGAGACACCAACCTGAGCCAGAGGAACAGGCTGAGAGTCGGCCGTGCCTTAGGACGGAAGTCCCAGCCCCCAGATCCGGAGTGGGGTGGATGCGCGCCAACTCAGCAGTGTTTACCGCATCCCAGATGACTGAGGAGCAGCCCAGGAAAGACACACTACTGAGGTCAAAGCAGGAGCTACAGAAGCTTCCGCAACGCCTGCAAACCAGCCCCGCCTCTGCCTCTGCCTCACTGCCAGCTTCCCCTGTCTGTAGCCGGGACCTGCTGCTCAGAGGTTCCTCTGAGAATTCAGACATGCGGCCCAGCCGTGGTGGCAGCAGGCAACGGAGTTTCATGAAGAGAAGTAACACCTGAGGGAGCAGGCGGAGGCCAGGAGAGGACCGCGAGGGGCCGGCACTGTGACCTGAAGCACGGGCATCCCATATGGATGCTGGGTTCTAGTCCTGGTTCCGATCCAGCTCTCTGCTATGGCCTGAAAAAAGTAGTAGCAGATGGCCCAGGTTCTTGGGCCCCTGGAGCTGCTTGGGAGACCTGGAAGAAGTCCCTGGTTTCATGAGGCTTCAGCTCCAGCTGTTGCGGCCATTTGGGGAGTGAAACCCAGTAGATGGAAGACCTCTCTCTTTGTCCCTACTTCTCTCTTTGTCTCTACCTCTCTCTGTAACTGTCTTAAAAAAAAAAAAAAAAATAACACTAGCTGGGTCTGGATCCAGGAACTGGCGTGAGCACGACTGTGAGGAAGCCTCCCCTCCCCACCAGCTGTCCCCCTCCTCCTCCCAGCAGATGTGGCGGGCTGTGGGGGGACCTCCCTGGGTGTGGAATTCCCAAAAACCCTCCCAGCCCTAGGAGCCCAGATGACTGCCCCCCTCATGGGGGGCCACCTGACAGGGGTCCAGCCTCCTCGGCTAAAGACACACACATACACAAATACACACACACACATACATACACACACAGGTGGGCACACTCACGTGTACAGGGCTCCCCGCCTAGTTGGTAACCACAGCCATGTTGTTTTCTAAACCCGAATCTTACTAAATGGCTCTTTTTGCTTCACATATCCTGTGCCTCAGTTGTCCCAATGGTGCAAGGCCCCTCCCCAGCCCCCAGGACAGCCCCTCTCCTGGCTGCCCTGCCCGGTTTGTTGGGGGTCCCTGTGGCATTTCACAGGCGCTGGCTGCTGGGGACACGGGGGCACTTACTTCCCGCCCCGGTCTGTAATCCGCCGCAGCACATGAGGGGAAATAGCATGGGAGTAAACACGCACCCTGGGCTCCTGGCGCTCCACAAGCCCCGGCTGCCGGAGGCTCCTGCCAGGCCTCCCCACGGACTCTGCTCAGGTGTTTGCCCTGGGAGGGGGTGGGGGGAGGCCTATCCCAGAGGCCACTCGTGGGGGAAGGGCAGCATCCTGAGCCTTCGCTATGGCTGGTCAACCTATCCCTTCCAAGAACATCCTGTCTGCAATGAAGGACAACTCACTCAAACCCTCAGCAAATTAACAGCACCACCAGGGCCACGAGCTGCAAGACCCAGCGTCAGGAGAAGATGGGGGGGCGGTCACACAGGCCCGCTCTCCACGCTGCCCAGCCAAGGAGAGGAAGGGGTACGTTTTGTGTTCTTCCTGAGAGTGCCTACGAACCAGCCTCTGCCCTCACTCCCACCCCTGCAGCCATGGCCCCAGGGCTGCCAGCTTACACAACTCCAGTGGGGAATTTGCATAGGAATGGCAGCCCTTGGATTGGGCAGTGCACACGTGATGAGGGACTCTGACGAGCTGAGGGACAATGGCCCTGCCCTGGTGTTTCCATGCAGCCTCAGAGGGAGTCAAGCTCAGGGCTGTGATCTTGTGGCCAAATCCATCCAGCCCAGGCACGGCATCAGCTCTGCTTCCTGCACGAACCTATCTGCCAGAGAGACAGCCCGGGGCTGGTGGATACCCTGTTGCTGTGCAGGTTTTCAGTGCAGGTGCACTTCTCACAGGTGGGGCTCTGTGGCTCTGAGTGACCTTTCTCAAAGGGCTAAGAACCCCTGGAGCAGAGCTGGGTGGGGGTGAGGATCACTGAGGCCGCAGGTGCCCATTCATTTGTTTACTGAGCACCTCCTAAGTGCCAGTCGCTGCTCCAGCACTGGGGATATGAAAATCCCTTGGGGGGTGGTGGTGGTGGTGATTCAGGCTCCAGGGGCCAGAGGCACAGCTGGTGCTGCCTGAGGCTGGCCTCTGGGATGGTCTAAGAGCTATGGGAATGCTGAGTCCCAGGTGCTAAGAATCCTATGAGGTTCTAACGAACAAGGTTTTGATGATGTCAGGCACAGCAGTGGGAGCCTGTGCTAAGCAGCCATGGTGAGGGGACAAAGAGGACCAGGCCTTACCCCATGCCAGCTGAGAGCACTGACACCCCACCCCCCGCCGGCCCGCACTGTGCATGGCTGAATCCCAACATTTGGAGGGTCCCAAGAGGGTCAGGCTGGAAGGGAGAACCACACTTGCCCACATCCTTGGAGGTGTTAGCTAAGGAGGCAGGAACTCAGGCCAGGGCTCCCTCAGGCCCACGGCTTGCAGTAGACAGGTGCTCACTGGTCCCCCCCACTCACTAGGAACACGCATTCACACACACACGCACACACATGCAGGCACACATCGCTCTTTCCTGTTGAGTGGATGCCCCCTTACACACACCCTTTAGCTCCTGGGAATGGTTAGGCTGCGTTTGCCTGCAGGGCAGCTGAACCCAGGAGCAGAGAACGAGGCCCAAGTTTAAAGAGCCGGGAGACACCATGCACAGCAGCCAGCAGGAGCCTGCCCGGGACGGGCTGTCACCCCCAAAGCCGAGCCTCCAGGAGGGCCAGGGGGAGAGAGGGGTGCGTGGAGTCAGTGATGCAGACTGGCGGCCCCCATGGCCCCTGTTTATTCTGACAGCACCACATGGGGAGCACAGGCGAGGAGCTGGCACTGCGGGTGGGTACTTCTCTGCCTTCCAGCACCCCCCTCTCAGGGGGGCATGGTCAGAGTCCAGCCTGCACCTGGGCTCTCACGGCTCCTCTCTGGCGAGCACCAGGAGACCTGGGCCTTCTTGGTGCCTTCTCACGTGTCTCTGCACAGTGCCCTGGGAAATGAGCCCTGCTGTCTTCTGCCCGACATCTCCAAGGGGGTGCTGGAGAGGTGAACTGCTCTATTTCCTCCAAGAAGCACAAGAGGAGGGTGCTGTCCTGGGTCCAAGGTGCGATTCTGCACGCTCCCAGGGTCCGGGGGAGCTCAGAGCAGGCCCCGGGGAGGGGGCTAGAGCATGCCCACCCCACCCTCTGCCAGCCCTGGCCTAGCGCCCCTGTCCTGTGTCCTCTCTGCCCGAGTCCTCCTGGCCAGCCCCACTGCGTCTGGCTTGCCGCCGGTCCAGAGCCAGCTGGAGGGCGCGCTTCACGGAATCCGCGTTGTTGAGAACATTGTACCGACTCAGGGCCACCAGCCGATCGAAATCCTCGTGTTCAAAGGTGAAGCTCATCGTGCTGTAGGGGGTGTCAGGCCCGTGGACCATGAAGTCCCCAAAGGCCTTGTCCACAGCTGTTTGCCGCTGCACACCTGTGAGGGAGGGAAGTGAGGCGACGCCAGGCTGGACACTTGGAGCAACCGGCTCGTAGCAGACAGCCACCGTGCCTGCCTTGCCCCCAGGACGTCCAGCTGGCTCCCTGTCCAAGACGGGCCCACGGGGGCCCCCATGTCAGCTCAGCCCAGTGCGGCCACTCAGATCCAGAAAGCAGAGGACAGCAGCGGGCACTCGGGCCGTCCAGAAGACCGGCCTTTGGGGTGTTACCCTGGAATGGCCTCCCAACACCCCAGGGCTCTGGAGTGCCGAGGCCCTGTGTGGCCCTCCCCTTACCTGGGGCCAGGTGCGTGCGGAAGGTGCGGTTGACCAGGGGGAAGTGCAGCACGATGGGTGCGCGGGGGTCCTCAGCCTCCGCAAACAGATAGCACTCTCGGGGCTGCTCCACGTCCTCAGGGCCCACCTCGATGCTAGGGAACGGGATGCCCCGGTCCAGGCAGTACTGCTCTGTCTCCCGTAAGGCCTGCACAGGGAGGCGAGCCTTTGACCCGCCTGCCCACACCTGGGCTCACAGGATGCAGGTCTCAGCACCAGCTCTGCCTCTAGTGGTTGAGTGGCTTCAGGCAGGTGGCAACACCTTTCTGAGCCATCTTCTACATATCTAATGTAACAGAGGGAACAGCTCCTAGTGGGGCTTCTGGGAAGATTAGCAGTGACCAATGGTGATCAACCGGCAACCAATGGCTGCTGCCATCACCATCACTCCTCCCATACCCACCCACAGCCTCCCTCTCTGCTGCCCCTTAGGGGCCCAGGGTACTGCTCCATGTTCACAGAAGGTCCGAGTTGGTGCAGGCTTTGTGCTTCCTCCTGTCCCAGACTGCCGCTGGGAAGAAAAGAGGTGGCCAGGGAGGGAAGGGCTGGCCCAGGAGCATGGCCAGAACCCACATCTGGATGACAACATCTGTCCATTCCCCGTATCCTGTGACCAAGTCCCTAGTAGGATCTCCTGGCAGGGACCCTGATGACTCCACTGTTACCATAGTAATGCAGGACAGCAGGCCCAGGCCCAGCCTCGGGGCAGCCATCCTAAGCTAGGTGGGCAGGGTATGCAGTGGGTGGCTTCCACTGACCAGGGCGACTCCCGAGGGCCCCTCCCAGTCTCCTCTTCCTCTCTGTTCTGAACCCTGCATTCCAGTGCTGCCAGTAGTGAGCGCACACGCGCACACACACACACACACACACCCAGAGGGGTGCCCAGGCCGCCCTCACAGGATGAGCCCAAAACACGCACGGGCAGGCTGCCCCAGCAGAGCCCCTTCACCCACCCCACCGTCCATGACCCTCCCTAGCTCGCCTGAAAGGGGCTTTCCAGGGAGTGGTCGAAGGACAGGATGAGGTCCACAGCTCGCTGGGGCAGCAGGGCCAGCGGGAAGGGTGAGTTGATGGCGATGCCGGCATCCACCAGGTGCAGGCAGTCCCACGTGGGCGTGAGCTGGTTGGGTAAGGCGTCTCGGTGTGCGGCTGCAAGCGCAGGGCCCAGGGTGCTCGTCTCACTGGCAGTCCTCTGCCGGTTCTCCCTCCCACCCCCACTCCCCCGAGAGCCACGGCCTTCCCGCCTTCCAAGACCTTGGCCTGGCATGGTCAGCAGGAGACCATCAGGCAACCCCGGCCCAAGGCTGACCCTGGGAAGCCAGAGGCACAGGTGGGAAGGGGGCACCTTTCCAGGCCAAGAACTCGTTGCTGGCCCCGTAGTCCCTGTGCAGGCAGAGGCCCCGGGTGAAGTTGGGGCTGTCGGCGGCAGTGAGGCGGGAGGTGAGTAAGTCCAGCATGGCCTGGGAGAAGGGCCCCTGGTGAGTGAAGAGCCGCGTGCACAGTCGTGCCGGGTCGTGCACCTGCAGCTTCTGGCAGCCATCTGGGTAAGGGTGGAAACCATAGGGCAGCCGTGCATCTGGGGATCCTGACAATGCAGGCAAATGCCCACGCCGCCGCCCCCCAGGCCTTCCCAATGGCCTCACCTTCAAATTCCCCACGTTCCCAAAGGTGCCTATGATGTGGTTTTTATTCAATAATAAAGGGTCTCCCCTATTGCGGTTATTACTACTATGTGAAAGCCAGAGCAATAGAAAGACACAGAGAGGGGGAAGATCTCCCATCTGCTGCTTCTCTCCAGATGCCTGCAACAGCAGGGGCTGGGACAGGCCAAGGCCAGGAGCCAGGAGTTCCATCCAGGCCTCCCACGTGGGTGGCAGGGACCCAGGCACTCGAGTCATCACCTGCCACTTCCCAGGATGCACACTAGCAGGAAGGCCCACGTGTAAGGACCATCATGAGGATGCTTCCCCAGTCCTGTGGCTCACGGGGCAAGACCCTCAGTCACCCTGGGGTATGCAGCCAAAAAGAGAGGACTTCTGAGCTGTCCCCTAAGAGCTGAGTGAGGGGTCAGTGCTGCGGCATAGCTGGTAAAGCCACCACCTGCAGTGCCGGAATCCCTTATGGACAATGGTTCGAGTCCTGGCTGCTCCACTTCCAACCCAGCTCCCTGCTAACAGCCTGGGAAAAGCATCAGAAGACGGCTCGAGTGCTTGGGCCCCTGCACCCACATGGGAGAGCTGGAAGAATCTTCTAGCTCCTGGCTTTAGATGGGCCCAGGTCTGGCTGTTGCAGCCATTGGGGAGTGAACCAGCGGATGGAAGATCTCTCTATCTCTCTGTCTCTCCCTAACCCTTTCTCTGTAACTCTGCATTTCTAATGAATAAATCTTTAAAAAAAAAAAAAAAAAGAGCTGAGCAAGAGACTGAGGCTAGAAAGTCGGGCAAGGAACTGCACAGAGGGCTCTCAGGGCCACTGAAGGGTCAGGGTGGAGGGGAGCCACGGCGGGGGAGGGGGTTAGAGTCAACCAAACACCCAGAGGACCTGGGCTGGGTCCACCTCAATGGAGCCCAAAGCAGAGACTGTGGGGGCGTGGCCGGTCACCCCTGTGGGCACCCGGAGACCTCCCCACCAAGCTAGCAGCCAAGGCCTCAGCCACCCCCTCGCCCATCCGCATCCCTCTGTGCGGACCCCGTACCTATGATGCTCACACTGCCCCTGTGCCTGTCCAGGAAGCCCAGGCCCGAGCCAGCCGTCTTCAGGAAGACCTCATCCAGGCTGGCAGCAAAGGCGCTGCCCCACAGGCCTAAGGAGACAGGCAGAGCCCTGGTCCGTGTGAGGGCCTGACCGGGCCCCAGCCAGCCTGTCCCCTGCCCCGCAGCCCACACTCACCCTGCAGGTAGCAGAGGCGGGTCTCGGGCCGCACCTGCAGCAGCCGCCCCATGAAGAACTCGGAGCCGAAGAGCGCGGTGGGAACGTGAGCCCCGTACTTGGGGAAGCCGACCTCATGGGGGGTGAACTCGCACCACTCTGTGGGCCCACGGGAAGAAGGCAGAGGCACTAGGGGCTGCCCACCGGGCCCCTTGCGCCTGAGTGAGCCCACTGAACTCTGAGGACCTCGTCTGTGGCTTCGTCCCATGAGCACCCCCCTCTCCCTTCCATCGCCACATCACACACCTGCGAAGTCTTCCCCACTGACGTTGGAGCAGACGTTGATGCTGGCGTAGATGGGGTAAGGGTTCTGAGCCCGGCTGACCGCTTCCTGCTGGTCAGACAGCTTGGCGGGGTTTTCCTGGGAAGGAAAGGAGGGAGGTGGCTTGACTTTTAGGGGTCCACGGTCCCCATCCCCAAGGCCCGAGGCTAGCTCATTGCAGTCACCGGTCCAGCGCTTCGGAGACAGCTCTCAGGGACGAGCTGCAGTCTGCAGCAGAGCGAGACCACTGAATGCTGCAGACGGGTCCAGGGGCTTTGGGAACACATCCCAGGGCAGAATGCAAGGGAGTCAGACTGACAATTTAAGAGCAGTCCCTGACAACCAGTCTAATTTATGATTTAAAAAGTAAATCCTAGGGCCAATGCTGTGGTGTAGCAGGTAAAGCCACCACCTCCAGTACCGGCATCCCATACAGACACTGGTTCGAGTCCCATATGGACACAGGTTCAAGTCCCGGCTGCTCCACTTCCAATCTAGCTCTCTGCTATGGCCTGGGAAAGCAGTAGAAGATGGCCCAAGTCCTTGGACCCCTGCACCCACATGGGAGACCTGGAAGAGGCTCCTGGCTCCTGTTTTCAGACTGGCTCAGTTCCAGCAGTTGTAGCCTTTAGGGGAGTGAACCAGCGGATGGAAGACCTCTCTCTCTCTCTCTCTCTCTCTCTCTCTCTCTCCCTGCCTCCTCCCTCCCTCCCTCTTTGTAACTCTGCCTTTCAAATAAATAAATAAAAGCTTAAAAAATAAAAAAAGATAATCCCTAGGAAACGTAGAAGAGAAATCATTTGTGATTCCACCCTCAGCTGACAACCACACACCAGCGAGTAGGGCAGCTGGGAACCCTCTCCCTGCTGACAGCCTGGGCCTGCAGTTCTCAGGGTAGCGGCCAGGTGGCGTGGCTTTGCCTCTGAGCCACAGGCTAGAATCACTTTCAAAACCTACCTGTGGGAGGGCCCTACTAGTGACCCACCAGAATCAGTATCTTTGGAAGTAGGGCCGGGCATGGGTGTCTGACAGGCTGTGCAGATGATTCCAATGACCACTGCAAGCTGGGCTCGCCCTCCCCAGGGGCAGGAGCATCAGAAAGGTGAAGCCACGTCAGCCCAGCCTGGTTTCTCACTCCTTCCCACCAGGGGCGCTCAGACCTCCAGGACAGCTTTGCACACCTGGCAGGGGGAGGGGGAGTAGGGCAGGAGGAAGCTGCCTGCATTCGTGTCTTGCTCTTCTCTCACCTCCTGGTACAGAAAATACTCGATGAGGAGGCCCCAGAAGTCAACGAGGGACACGCTGTGGCCACTGTCCTCCCGGAGCCCCAGTTCCTGAACGTAGTACTCCAGCCGCTCTGGGGACACTGCGCCCACCTTCCGGCTGCAGACCCGAGCCCGGGCATGCTCAATGGGGCCCTTCAAGGCCACCTGGGACCAGGCTGGGTCCTTGTAGAGCGTGGAGATGCACCTGGGGACAGAAGGATGCCTGCGCATAGGGGCGGGTCATGCAAGGGGAAGGAGGCAAGCAGGAGATTCCAGGGGCCCTCCTCTCCCATCACTCACACCTGTTGCCCCAGAGCCTCCCCAGCTCGGAGGAGCCCCTCGGCCCCTCCCTCCCCTCCTAGATGCAGGCGCCCCGCCCCACCCAGGCACTCCATCTGAGCACCAGGGCGCGCTCCTGTGCTTTCCAGGGTCTTCTCTACTCCTCACCCTGCCCCCACCACACTCACCAGGTGGACCCAGAGACCCCACTCAGGTAGGTCACAGCGTCCAGGAGGCCGAGCTCCTGCAGCCCTGCCAGGCTGCCGTACAGGGACGTCATGGCTCGGGTTCCACCGCCAGAGCCCAGCACAGCCACCACAGGTACCTGGCACAGCAAGGACAAAAACTACTACTTCCGTCATGGAAAAGGTCTTCCGAGAGCGCACGGGACATGCTTGCTGTGAAACAACTATGCACGGACCGACAAAAAGTTACCTTCGAATTCCATTTTCCATGGACTTTTTAAAGTCCCCTCATGTGCGCCATTCTTCTAAGAGCCTTACTTGTATTTTCTCATTGAAAAGACAGGGGCACAGGAAGGTTAAGTGACGTGCGCAGATCACACAGTGACAATCCATCAAACCCAAGCCGTATGCTCCAGGGCTGACTTTGACCCATGAGACCAGGGAGGCATAGTTGATAAAGTACAAGCAGACAAAGCAGGGTTTCTTGGTGCTGTCGATATTTTGTACTACTGCGTGTTGGACCAGATAGTTCTTTGCTGTGGGATGCTCGGATGTTGGAGCGAGCTTAGTGGCACTCCTGGCCGTTAGCCAGTAGCTGCCGGAAGCTCCCCTTAGCTCCCCCCATCCCTGAAGTGGCAGCAACAATGTCTCTAGACGTCAATGAATGTCCCCAGCTGAGAACACTAAGCTGGGATGATGGCCTGTTTGGGGACCCCATGACCTAGAAGCCAGACGCGTCAGAAGCCCCCAGGTGCTAGGGCCCTGGGTTGGAGGGGCCTGCTGGGGGCAGAGCTGGAACTTTTTGGCTGCTGGGCTTTTGCACGAAGGTTTGGTGCATCCCACCCCAGACTTCCAGTTCCTTCCCCGTCCTTTTCTGCTGGGAAACATGGTCTCCCCCAGCCCCAGCTTGAGGAGGACACTGCGAGGTGAGGTGGGGCAGAGCGGCACGTGGGCTTCTCCGTGCTGGGCACAGCCCTGTCCCACGTGCAGGGGCAGCAGGGAGCCCTGGGCGGCTCCTGGGCTGCACCGGCTGTCTGCCAGCGCACCTCTCCCCTGCCAGCCTCCCCACCGCAGCTCAGCCCCGAGCTGCCTCTCGGCTCAGGCGGCCTCGCACCTGCCATCTCCAGACTCCTTGGACCACTGTGGGGGGAATCAATCATGTCCCCGCCTCCCTAGATTCCCATGCTGAAGCCCAGCCCCACAGGTGACTGAGTTTGGAGAAAGGAGGTAATAAGGGAAAATGAGGTGTTCAGGACGGGACCTTAATCCAACAGCACTGGCATCCTCACAAGAGGAGGAAGAGACGTGAGAGTACTCTCTGTCCCTCCCTCTCCCTCGCTCCCTCTATTTCTCTCTCCTCTGCTCCCCTCTCTCTCCCTCCCTCCCTCCCTCCCCCCTTTCCTTCTCCCTTCCTCCCTCCCCACCCTCTCTCTCCCTCTCCCTCCCTCCCCACCCTCTCCCACAGAGAAGAGGCCAGGTGAGATCACAGTGAGGGGGGCTCCCTCAGGAACAACCCTTGGGCACCTTGACCCTGGACCTGCAGCCTCCAGCGCTGTGAGGACGTACGTGCCCGTGCTTTAAGCCACGCAGCCCAGGGCAGTCTGTCACAGCAGCCCAAGCAGACAAAGCTGTCCACTCTTGGCCAGCGCTATTCAGCCCTCGTTCCCGGTGGGTCCTTCCTTTTGACCGTGCCCATCAGGGCCAGCAGATGGGCCTGCTCTTTCTTCTCTGCTCCCTGTCCTGCTCCAGCCACGCAGGTCCACTCAGGGGAACAGGCCAGAGATGTGGTCCCAGCGGCTCTGGGGTCGGGTTCCTCCTCTGTTCCATACCTGATCACTGTCTGGGGCCTCATTCAGGCCCAGCACCTGCTGCAGGGCCCTGGCCACGACCTGCTTCCTCCTGTCCAGAAACTGCTGCTCCCCGTCACAGAGGCCAAAGCCAAGGCGCAGGTCCAGGTCCCCAGAGCTGCCGGGGTGGGGGAGGTAGGGGTGTACCAGGTGACTGAGCAGTGGGGGAGGGCCCAGCTCACTCTTCCCAGGAGCAGACCTGTGCTCCCTGGAACCCCTTAGAAAGCACCCAAGGGACTGTTCACGAGCAGGGAACAGTGGGTGCCCCTGGCCTGGGCGCCTGGGCAGGCACACCCTGGGGGAGCACCCCACTCTTCCAGCCTGGAGTCCCGCCTTACCTCATCTCTGCCTGCACGCTCAGCGCCACCTCCAGGCCCTGGAAGAGACAGCAGCTCGGCCCCAAGCTCACAAGCAGGATCCTCCCAGGGGAGTGTGCTCACCACCTGCGCCCCCTGCTCGGACCCCTGGGTGGTCAGGGGACAGGCTGGCAGGGGAAGAGGGCCACAGCTCCCAGTCCAAGCCTTACCTGCCCTAGGACCACGAGGCGCTGCTCCTCCCTGCCCAGGGGCAGCAAGGAGAGCGGGATGGTCCCCTTGCCCAGCTGGAGAGTTTGAGCCTCCAGCTCAGCACTGGGGTTGCCCTGTGGAGAAAGGGACCGGCCAGGACCTCAGTAGCTGGCAGGAAGCGGCCTGGAGGCGGCACCGAGTCCACCGCTCGCCCTTGGCCCTGGGGCGGCTCACCTGCAGGACCACCCGCTTCTCCCCCAGCTCCACATCCAGTCTAGAGCTCAGCACTGGGTTCACGTGGAAGGTGAAGGTAGGGGCGAGGCCCAGCTCCGCGAGAGGCTGCAGGGGTAGGAGCTGGGGCTTCTCGCAGGCCCCAGGCACTGCCAGTTGGATCTGTGTCACACCTGAGAGCAGAGGGCCCAGGTGGATGATGGAAGTGGGGGGAGGGGTGCAGGTGCTGCTCACGATGGCACTTCCTGGGCCTTCTCTTCCCCCAGGGGGTGCCACTCATCACCCACTCTTAGCACACCGTGGCCCGTCAAGAAGGACCCTTGAGCTTCCTCTAGCCCTGCCCACGTCAGACCTGGGCCCCTGGGGCAGATGAGAACACACAAGGGCCCGGGGAGGGGCAAGGCAGGACCTGCGGAGGGAGAGAGCCCCCACCGCTAGCCTGTGGGGCTGGCGATGTTCAGTACATTAGTTATACAGTAGATGATTATATACAATTCATTCCCTAATTGTTGTTATATATTAGTTACCAGTTTTTAACTAGCAATTTCCCCGTGCAAACTCTGTGCTCACTGCCTGGGGCCCAGGTGGGGAAAGGTTTGTGGGCAGAGAGGAAACCAGGAATACATGGGCTGTGAGCCCTTGGGAGGGGGTAAAAGGAAGACTGGGACCAGTGTCCAGAGGAGGGGCAGGCATCCCGGGGAAGCAGAGAAGGGAAGAGGGGCGGGCCTGTAGGCCAGGGGGCACAGGGCTGTTTCCTGCCCTCTTCCAGCCTTCCTGGAAAGGAAGTCGGACCCCAGAGAGAACAGGCCAGGCAGAGGGCCCACAGCCAGCCTCACAAGAGTCCCAGACCCCACACACAACACCACAGCCACAGAGACCCCGCGGGTCCCAGGATGGGAGACACCTCAGGAGCAGAGGTGCAGCCCGGGCCCCCCTACCCTGCAGCCCCGCCCCGACCAGGCGAGACCCTTGGGTTCCACTTGAGCCTGAGTGTCACGAATTAAAAGAGGATGATAATTGCACCCACTGAGTTGTTAGGAGGATTAAAGGAAAAAAAGTCTAAGTGCTCAGCCCACGGCCTGACTCAGGGTGAGCGCTCTGCTCTGTGTGACTGAGGCTGGACTCAGCCCGCAGGCGTGGCTCCAGGGGCGCCTTGGCTGTGGCGGCCTCGGCTCCAGGCCCTCTGCAGCGGGCTGGGTAGCCCTGGACCTTCACTTCCCCCGGGGGAGGCGGGCTCCGGCTCCCCCGACCAGTGACCACCCCCTGCCCTCTGCCTTGGAGCTGCACTGGTGACTCGCGCTGGCTGGTGACACATGAGTGAATGACCAGGAGGTGACCAAGCGCTTGGACGGCTCTTGCTCAATTGGGCTTGCTCTCGTGTACCTTTGTGATGTCTTAAGAACAAGTCCAGGCTGGCATGCCAGTTGCAGAGAGGAGAGACATATGGGTAGAGACAGGATACCCCCTCCCCATACCGCCTGCAGCCCTAAAGCCCCCGCTGACCACGGGGTGGGTGCGTCAAGAACCACAGCTTGGGGGCCGCTGAGATGCTGTGTGTGTGTGGCAGAGCCATCGCTGACTGATGCAATCTCTACACTTGGACACTTGTAGGGACAGGAAGTGCCCTCCCCCCAGAGACCATCCGTCCCTCCCTGGGTCGGCTTTGAGTAGTGGAAGACATAAGACCTTTCTGCTCCTTGGCACCAGCAGCCCCTCCCCGGGTGGTGGGGGGAAAAGGCCAGACCCAAGGCCGCTGGCCGGACTCACCGCGCTCTCGAAGTGAGGCTATCCCGTCTCTCCCTAGGGTGCCATGGATCTTCAGGCAGGGCTGGGCCTGGGGAAGGCAGAGGCCCAAGGGGCCAGACAGCCCATGGGGTCCGAATCAGGGGGAGAGGCCGGGACAGGGTCCAGGAAATAGTTCCCCAGGGCCTGGCCCCCAAGGTCACATCCAGCCCCTCCCTGGGCTCAGTGGAAGTGGCCCCTGGTGGGACAGGGAAGTGGGGGATCCCCATGAAGAAGCCATGAGCGGCTTCTATGGCAGTCTCAGCACCAGGATCTCCAGTGAGTCGTGTGCAGTGCATGAAGAGGGAGGAGCCTGGGTCCCCGGTGATCCACCTGCGCCCAAGGCAGCTTCCTGTCCTCTGCCCAGACATCACTGGGCTGCTCCATGGTCTCCTCCCTGCCCCTGACCCGGGAGGCCCCAAGGGTGCCTTCCCCACTCACCACCAGGACTCCATTGGTGATGACTTCACACGCAGGCACCTGGCTGCAAAGCAGGATGGGCTCACAGGCCGTTCGGCTCCCTTGCAATGGCTGTTACCGTAACAGCAGGACCATCGCAGCCGCAAGAGCCCAGCAGCGGGGGAGACCCTGGGGGCGGGGCCCTGTTGGCCACCATGCAAACAGGCAGCAGCCGCAAGGCCAGGCCGGCCTCTCAGGCCAGCACAGGAGGTGGGGACCAGCTGGGCATGCTCACCTCTTCTCCAGAACAAACTCCACCTGCAGCTCCTGGGAGTTCTGCACGGGGGAGCAGGGGCACCGGCTGTGACGAGCCTGCCGAAGCCTCTGGGACTCTCGCTGCCTCTCGCTGCCCCCAGGCCCCATGGAGGGGGAGACTTGTGGCTCTTTGTGGGCAACCGTGTCTCCACGCAGAGCGCCAGTCTCTCAGGTATGTGTGCCAGGCCCCATTCAGCTCACCTGGCTGTCAAGGAAGGTGTGACTGTAGGGTTGGCCGGGCTTGAGGCTCCTCAGGTCAAACAGGTACTGGGAGAGCTGGTCACTGTCCAGGACATCCTTGTCATAGAGGGTGAGTTCCAGAACATTCTGGGAACAGGGCAGGTGGGAGGTGGGAGACCGAGGCAGGACAGGAGGGCAGCACCCTGGAGGCGCTCCTCTCCCTCCCGCAGCCCAGCCCCCACTGGCCTCACCTTCACAGCACCGTGGAGCTGGTAGCGGAAGGTCTCGTTCCACTCGGGGTCGCTGCAGTTGGCCACCATTCTGGTCTGGGCGGGGCAGGGGGATGCCGTGGGCAGCCATAGCTTCACGTAGCAGTCGGCTTTGGACACTGCACAGGGAGGGGGTGTCAGCCTCAGGCTGTGATGGCTGCAGCCTTCCTGGAGGAGGTGGGGAGGCCACCCACGTGCCGAGGCGGGCCAGCAGTGAGCTCTGCCAGGTGTGCCTCTCACCCAGCTGAGCGGACATTCCGGTGGCCAGGGGCCAAGGTCAGGTGCCAGCACAGGCTGTGGAGTAATTCCCAGAAACTTCCTGGTTCAGGCAACAAAACCCCTTCACCGCGAGCAGTGGGAAGGAAGGGCTTACGGGGGCAGGCGTCCGCTTGTGACAGAGGCCTCACTCTCTCCCTGAAGGCACGTGCTAGACTCGGGGGGTCCGAGCCTGCTGCCTGCCCCTCACCACGGGTGCCTCTCCACATGATTTCAAGGTGCACACTCACGCCAGCTGAGCCCTGGGGAGGCCCCAAGGGAAGGCAGGAGAGAAGGGGTGGGGAGGGGTCACTCACAGCGGTCTGACCCCTGGATATTTCGGGCCCTCAGCACCTTCACCTGGAGGTCGTAATAGGGGTGCGTTTCCCGCTGAAACAACGCAACGGCAGGGGCTCAGTTCCGGGAAGCGTGGGCCTGCTCTCCTCCCTGCTGGGGTTTCCAGCTCCGATTTTCCCACGGGGTCACAGAGCAGCAGCCTGGCCTGCGTTTATTGATGTCGCCGTGCAGGGAGGCCTGTACCCAGGAGGCCTTTGCAAGCAAGGGCTCAGTGTCTTGGTTTTAAGTGGGGTCCCTGCAATCTGCCAGGCCTGGGTTCATCCCTGAGCTGTGGACCACCATCTGAGCTCGTTAAGGGGATCACACACCACTACCCTGAGGCTCTCTGGGCCTATGTGCCCTGGGTGTAGCTTGAGAGCTGCAAGAGCTGGAACATAAGCATAAGGAGCTTAAATATTAAACAAGGAAGCTGTGCTATATGCACCCCAGCCATGGGCTCCTTGACCGGGGCTAGCGCGTGGCAGGTAGGTGCAGGGGAGCCGAGTCACAGAGCAGACTGCAGCCTCGTGGGAGGGAAACCCCTGCACCCTTCTCCTGGCCGTGGGTTCCATAGCTGGCCGAGAGCATTCTCGGCAACACCCAAGGCAAATGTCCGCACTGGCAGGGATTATTGTCAAGGTCCTGGCCAGTCTCTCTAGTTCCAGCTCTGCCAGCTCATCTGGGACAAGTAAGTCCCACTGGAAATCAAATGCCAGCCCTGGCGCGACCCTCCGTGCTCAGGGGACAGCAGCCCCCAGAAGTCCTGCAGGTAAGGTCAGGTACCTTACCTGCGGGTGCCTCCACGGAGCCTCCCTCTTCACTCTCTTCTCTCTCTTCCGCAGCAGCACGGTCCCCACGAGGGGCAGCCCCTGGCCTGCCAGCCACCGAGGCCACAGGTCCCACAGCATGGCCAGGCAGCCCAGCTCCCAGCAGAAAGCCTCACCTGCCTTCCAGAGCTGCCCTGCCCCTCCCCGGTCCCCCTGCTGCAGCTCAGGTCTGACAGGTAGCTCAGGGTGGGGAGGGCGGAGCACCAGAGGTGGCCTGGGCTGGGGCTGGAGGTGGGGTTTGCCAGCTCCGGAAGTGCCTGAGGCCTCATTTTCCCAGGTAGGAGCTGGCTGGGTCCCTCTCCACAGGACTCAGGTGAGCTCCCAGGTTGCAGCTGGCAGCTCTGAGCCTCGCCGCAGGGGCAGACTTCCAGGGCGTGGGGAGGCCCCGGCTATGTGTATTCCTCCCAGGTCCTCTGGGACAGTGCCTCACAGCCGGCCCAGGGAACGGCAGCTGAATGAGGCCTTTGCTGCCCAGGCTCCCCCAGAGGTCAGAAAAGCCTCCCCCCAGCTGCCCTGCGAGGGAGAAACGTGCACGGCTCCGGCTCAGGGTTTCACGTGCACTTGAAGGTGCTTTCCTCTCGTGGCCTCCCTGCTCATCCCCCAGACACAGAGGGCCTGCTGCTTGCAGACCTGGTGGCGATGGCACCGGGGCCTAGCCATAGCCTGAGGACTTTGCAGCCTCCCTGTGGCTTCGGCCTGCGCCCTGTGCCGGGATCAGTGCAAAGACCTGAGTGACTCGAGGCACAGGCAGGGATAAGGTCAGGTTGTACAAGCAGGAGGGGGCAGAAAGCAGCACTTCCGGCCCTGGAGCTACTGAGACCAGTGCGGTCCTCCCGGGGACCACTAGAAGGGGGTGGGGCCTTGCCAGGGGCCACTGCGTGGCCGGGGACTATGTGGTTCACTGGGACAGTCTCCAGGCACAGAAAGGATGTCTGGGCAAGTGAACTGTTGGGAGACACATTTCGGTTCTGCAACCAACATCCAGTCATCCCTCTTTCCCAAGCTCTGCAGCTGGAGGCTGAAGGAACATCCAATGAGGTGATTCCAATGAACCAGCTGGGCAAGCTCAGACCAGAAATTCCCAGAACTAGAGGTGCTGTGACTGCCGGTGGCCGGGATCCAAGGCAGGGCGTGTGGTTGTCTAGGTGAGGAGTGATGGACAGGGGTGCCCAGGGACCCACACTGCAGGATTCCAAGGCCCAGGGCTGAGGGTGGCAGAGCCTGGGTTGGGAGCCAAGCTCCTGAATACATGACAGGCTTTCTGGACTGCGCCATTCTCTCCCAGAAGCCACCTGCCCAGTACCTCATCCATCCCTGTCCTAGCCGGTCCATACCCTCACATGACCCTCTGGGTTATCGCCTGACGTGATGGGGAGATGCCCAGCCTGTGAGTGACGACAGCAGGGTCCCTCTCCGTGCTGCCAACTCCGCTGTGGTCCACAGAAGCGCTGCCCTGATTAAGCCACTAATCCCCCACTCTTCACGGTTCCTGGCTAACTTACTACCATCCACGGTTACTGCATCAAAGCGCACGGGGAGGGGAGCAAAAGACACCTCCATAGGCGTGGTTTCTTGCTTTGCTCTTTATTCTGAGGGCAGCCTCCGTCTCCAGCCTTCTCTGTGGAGGACAGAGAGTCTTGGGAACAAAGAATGGCGTGTGGGAAGCGGGGTCACGTATGAAACCGGAACAGAAGAAAACACGCGTTCTGCACTCTAGCGCTTCAAACACAGATCGCAGCAGGGACGGGCCAGCACAGCAAGACCAGGAAGCGGGGCCGCCCCGAGAAGCACAGCCTGAGCCGGCAGACTGGGCCTGGGCCAGCGCCGCTCCTCGTGGGTGGGGGTGGCCGCTGTGTGACTTCCTTCTCCACGCGCCGTTCTGCAGGGCTCTTGGGGAGTGCTGCCCAGCCTCATGGGCCTGAGCAGAGCACCCCCACCCCCAACGCTGTGAACGGTGCTGCCGGCACAGGGAGCACGCCAGGGAGGAGCACCTCCCCTTAGCGTCAGCAGCTGGGTCACCACAGTATGACTGCAGCTGACAGAGGACAGGCACAGCCCCCACCCTCACTACCACTGAAGACATTGGGCCACCAGTGTCTGCAAAGACACCAGGCCCCAGCACTCTGCCCCAAGCACTCTCGAGATCTGGCGCGAGTTCTCTTCTCCCTGAACACCTCCCCAGCACAGCAGCAGCCCCTCGCCGTCAGCCCTACCTGACTGTCCCCTGTGTGCAGCAGTCTGCTCTCCTGTGAAACTAAGCTGGGCGATGACAGCCGGGCCAAGCTCTAAGGCAGGTGCACAGGAAGCGGCTGGAGGGAGAAAGGCGGCCTGAGCACGAGGACTGAGCTCCCAGGCGCTGCCCCAACCCGCCTGCCTGCTGACGCGGGAGCAGGTGCCTCTGCAGTTGTCTGTCCAGAGACTGCAGAGCCGGGAGCTGCTGGGCCCCGCGGGGAGACCCCGAGGCCCTCTCCTAGACAGAGAATGGCACTCTCCTAAGCTCTCACACATACAGCATCCGGCCAGAGAGGGTGTTTCCAACACACTGGATGATCCGTTCTCCAAGTATTCCTACACACTGACACTTCCTCTTGCTTCTCACTTGACCTCATTGAAATATGAGTTACCCGGAGTGTGGGAGAAAAGCATGGCAGTGAGGGGAGAGGCAAAGGAAGACAATAAATAGTGTGAAGAGACTGAAGCCTGGAGCTGTGAGTGGAGCTGGAGACCAGAGGGGACACGGGGGACAGCCGCGCCCCTCAGGAGCCACACAGCCTCCTGTCTGGTCTGCGCGGCCGCAGCGAGGCCTCCTGAGGCTGCGCACTCATCTGAAGAGAGAGCCTCAGTGAGCCACCATGGTTGGGAACACTTGCAATAAGTTTCCTTACGCAGGTGAAGGTGTGCAAAGGCAAGACGGTGCACCTCCTCCTGTCCAGCAGGTGGTAAATTCTCTGGCATTGCCTGCAACATTACGGTATAAGGTATAACTAATCTCTTTCTATTTAAAAAGCTGGCAATGCCAGCCCATGAGTCAGCGACGTTCCAGGCGCAAGGCAGCCAGTCGTGTCCAAACGTGGAGACTCCCGCTGGTGGCAGCCCCCGGCTCCTTAAGGCTGGCCGCTCCGTGGCCTCTCTGGGATAGCTGAGCTGTCCATCTGCTGAATGCTCTGGATGCTGGGCTCAGGTGTCAGCTGGGTTTACCTCTTTAGAACAGAAGTAGTGCACGACCACTCCATTGGGGTATCTCGCAAATGCACTGCAGGGAAGGAAACGGCGTGGGGGTGAGGGCTGCTGCCAGTCCCTGGAAGAGGCCCCTTACCCAGAAGCCATCCTGGAAGCAGCACCCCTAAGGCCCCAAGAACACTGGGTCACTGTAGCCACCAGCTCTGCCTAATAACAGAACAGAGGGTGAGTGACATACAGGTGGAGTGCATGGGTATTTCTTATTAAGTAACCAATGCAACACACAGCAGAGGTGCCAGTCACAGCCCAGGGCTCAGCCCGGGCAGAACGAGATCGAATACTCATCAGAACTCGTGTTGGGATGGCGCTGTGGTGTGAAAGGTAAAGCCACGGCCTGTGATGCTGGCATCCCATATAAGTGCTGGTTTGAGTCCCCAGATGTTCTACTCCCGATCCAGGAAAGCAGTAGAAGATGGCCCAAGTGCTCGGGCCCCTGCACCCACGTGGGAGACCAGGAGAAGCCCTGGCTCCCAGCCTCTGCCTGGCCCAGCCCCAGCCACTGCAGCCATTTGGGGAGTGAACTGGAGGATGGAAGACCTCTCTGTCTCTCTGTGTCCTTTTCTCTCTCTCTTTCTCTCTAACTGCCTTGCAAATAAATAAAATAAAATTTTTTTAAGATTTTTTTTTGAATTTGACAGGTAGAGTTACAGACAGTGAGAAAGAGAGACAGAGAGAAAGGTCTTCCTTCCGTTGGTTCACTCCCTAAATGGCCGCCACGGCCGGCGCTGCACCGATCTGAAGCCAGGAGCCAGGTGCTTCTTCCTGGTCTCCCATGCGGGTGCAGGGCCCAAGCACTTGGGCCATCCTCCAATGTCCTCCCGGGCCACAGCAGAGAGCTGGACTGGAAGAGCAGCAACTGGGACTAGAACCTGGTGCCCATATGGGATGCTGGTGCCACAGGTGGAGGGTTAACCAAGTGAGCCACGGCGCCGGCTCCAATAAAAATAAATTTTAAAACAAACAAACTTGTGTCAAGTTAATTCTAACCAAGAACAGCGAGGTTAGGTTTGTCTAAAGAAAAGGCTGGCTTGGGGTTTTACTCAAGCCATAAAGTAGCAGGTGGAAAGATCTTTTTCTTCCTTTAGACCAGGGGTGGGGCCATTTGGATAGTTGTAACATCATTCGCAGGCCACATAAAACAATCAACTTAAAAGATTAATCCACTATAGATGTACTGAATTCAAGTCCTGCCTGTGGTGGCCTCAGCAGGGCCAGACCAAATGATTTCACGGGTCTCATACGGCCCACGGGACGGACGTTCCCCAGCCCTGGCTCCAGAGGCTTGTCAGCACGCAGCTGTGTCACACACCCTCTGGCTGCATCAGAACTTCCAGCTGCCAGAGGAAGACCGCGCTGGGGGCAAGAACTCGGCAGCCCCGTGCCGCGCACTTCAGGGCTGCCCACCGCCCACAGCCGTCACGGCTTGCTCTCTGAAGGCTCCCAGACCAAGGGTGGTCAGGACAGCCAGTGGCTGTGCTGTCCCTCTCGGGTAAAGGGCAGAAATCCATCCCGAGTGTTCTCCGCGGGCCACCCCTCCGCCCGCCCCTCGTCGGAGCACTGGTGTGGAGGAGGCTCACCTGTTCCCAATCTTCTTCTTACACACCATGCACACCTTCTCCTCGGTGATGATGCACTTCACCTGCTGGTGTAGGATCCGCTCTTCCTGGACCTGAAGAGAGAGACGGGGAGAAGCTGCACGGTGTGGCACAGACACGGAGGGCTGAGGCTGGCACTGGGGGGCTCAGCCCCCACAGCCGTCTTGCACATTTGCTACTCAGCATCAAGCCCGCCACTGCTGTGCGGACACATGAGGCCGCGCCTGGGTTGGAATGGGAGAGGTGCGAGCTGTCTCAGACTGAAAGACAAGAAGCCTGCCCTGGCATCTGGAAGGGCCGTACCCTCAGGAACTCTGCATGCAGAAGGTTCTTGAGCACTTGGTTGAACCGTTTCTTTTGTGCATTTTCTTCCAAGACTTTTTCCAGAAAGATGCGTATGTCATTGATCTGAGTGTTTGCTGGCAGAAGGTTGATGGCCTGGGGACAGGAACAGAGTGAGGCTGGGGACCTTAGTCCCTGTCCCCACCTGCTCTTCTCCTTTGCGTTCCCCACAAACACCGCCATCCCCCCGAAACACCCTCTGACCTTGGTGGTGTCCAGTTTGCTGTGGTGCAGCTCGAGGACCTGCAGGGCAGCCTGGAGGTTGGCCTGTGGCTCCAGCAGCTCCAGCTTAATTGGCCCTAGGCAGTGAATGCTGGGGGGCGACAGGTACATCCGAAGCAGGGAGAGATACACCTGTCTCACACAGACACAGCCACGGTGTCAGGCTGGCAGCAGCCCTCCCAGTGCCCCCCAGCACCGGGCACCCCTAAGGGTCACCAGTCTCTCAGAACTGGCATTGTGGCACAGCAGGGTAAACAGTTGCTTGTGACACCAGCAAGTCCTGGCTGCTCCGCTTCCCACCCAGCTCCCTGCTAACGCTCTAGGGACAGTAGCAGAAGATGGCCCAAGTACTGGGGCCCCTGCCACCAATGTGGGAAACCTGGATGGAGTTCTTGGCTCCTGGCTTCAGCCTGGCCCAGCCCTGGCTGTTGCAGCCATTTGGGAAGTGAATCAGTGCATGGAAGATCTCTGTCTCTCTCATTCACCCTCTCTCTCAAGCTTTCAAATAAATAAATAAATAAATAATCAAATCTTTATGGGGGAAAACAAAAAAGATGGTCAGTCTCTAGTGACAGCGGCAGGGAGCACGAAAACCTATCAGTTCCACCTTTTAAAGTCTTGGTAATGGGGCTGGCACTGTGATGTAGCAAGTAAAGTCATCGCCTGCAGTGCCAGCATCCCATATGAGCACCAGTTCGAGTCCTGGCTGCTCCACTTCCAGTCCAGCTCTCTGCTATGGCCTGGGAAAGCAGAAGATGGCCCAAGTGCTTGGGCCCCTGCACCCACATGGGAGACTCAGAAGAGGCTCCTGGCTCCTGGCTTTGGATCAGCACAGATGGAAGACCTCTCTCTCTCTTTTCTTTTAAAGACTTATTTATTTATTTCAAAGTCAGAGTTACACAGAGAGAGGAGCAAGTGAGGATGTAGGGTCACCTGTCGGCTCCTCATGCACACACCAGTCGGCACTCCGATCCAGCCCTGGCTCAGGCAGCAACACACCCGGTGCTGCTGGTGGCCAGGTGTGGGGCAGGGGCAGGGGCAGGGGCAGGCACACCGCTCCTTGGGCAGGGCCACTACTTACATCTTTGTTGCCATCTTTGTTTTGGTCATAGTGTTTGTGGCAGTACCTGCAAGGGAGAAACTGGTGAGGGCAGGCACGGGGACAGGCCACCCACGAGGCTCATTACAGCCAACACCAGGGATCCCTGGTCCCACGGCAGAGCAGGCAGTGGCCTGCTTAGCCTCTCCTGCCGCTCACCTCTCGGGGCCCTCTGTGCAGGCTCTGGGGAGGTGGGAGGCGAGGGCCAACTTACTCCTCAGCCATCTTGGTGTCCTTCAGGACGTGCACGTAGATGAAGAGAGCTTGCTCGTGCTTCCCCATGCGCCCCAGCAGCAGAGCTCGTTCCTCCAGCAGGCCTAGGGAGGGAGGCGCCTGAGTACCCATCCCCGCCGTGTGCAGACAGGGCAGGCGCTCCGCGGGGACAGCAACGGGGGCCGAGGCAAGAGAAGAGGGAGGTGTGTGTTACTGCCATCACTTGGACTTTTTTCCCAAGGAGAAAATCACTTCAGTGTGGGAAAGCGGGGAGGGGCTTTTTGAGGAGGGACTCCATCCTGTCCTTGAGTGGGAGCACGCAACAGCCAGGGGCAGAACCATCTCCCGCCCACCCACACGGCACTCCTGTCCGGTGCCTGTACATCACATCAATGTGTCTTTTTCAGACACATTATGCCAGGCTACAAAAACTGCTAGCAACAAACCTGGCCAAAAACACATTCTGAATCAATTAACAGGTTGCATGATGGCTATCAATTAGCATGTGGTTCACACCCAGAAACCCAGGAAAAAAAAAAAAAGGAGTTCTCTTAGTCACGGTTCCACAGTGAGTCTTCAGGGAGCAGGGCCCAGAATGCCCGGCTTGCCTAGGCTCCCTGTGGGAGGCGGGGGTGCAATGCTAGCAGCTCCGGCCCACCCCCGGCTCACTGGCTGCTGGCCCCACGCCAGACACTCACCATCGAAAGGGAAATCACAGATGAGCCGCCCTGGGTCGTAGTAGCTGGAGATCTCCAGGAACATAAGGAGCTTCTGCCGGTACTCTCCCAGCTCCCCCTCCTCCTCCCCAGCAGGGACCGGGGTTTTGCCTGTAGGAGCATGGCCATCGTGAAGTGGGGCTGCCGGGCAGCAAAGTGGGCTCCTCAAGGGGAAGGGGGCGGGGAGCAATGGTGCAACCAC